TAAGTATGCGCACGGCGGTATATTAAAAGGTTGTGCGTCAACTTACCAGTATAATATACTTTGCTCAATTCATTATTTAATTGTACCCACACAACGTGTTGGACACCGTCACCAGAGCTCCAGAGGCCCGGCGGGGCGCTCCGGCTGCTCCATGAAGCCTCCACCCCGTCACGTAAAGCACAACGAGGACCCATTCCTCTCCAATCTCATATTTATATTATCTTCAATACTGGGGGTACAAATAATATCCAATATTTTATCCAGTGGAAACTTAACCGCATGAATAAACAGGGATGCTAATGAGTTCAGTGCAGCTTCAAAGCTCTGCTATTTTTTAATTGATTCAGACCTGTTACAGTCAGATATGAACTATAGTAGTCCAAGTTGTTATTGACCAAGGAAGCGATGCGTAAAGTTACCTTCAAAATTAATTGTCTTAAAACTATCAAAATCCAAACAACAAATATAAAAGAAACATGCCAATAAACAAAGAATAACCGATGGATCGCACACACTACCGAGCCGTGTGTATGTGTGTGTGCTGCCTCCATTACGCGCGACCGAGCGGGCCCTGTCCACTGCGCGTAAATATTCCCACACAGTAAATCTACCAGATTAGATGTAACGCCATACTCAGAGCTAAATACAGTTTTCTTTATCTTGACAGGCGTTTAGGGTGATGTGTGCATCATGTATGGTAAAGCGTGTATTAGTATCCTAACCCCGATGCCTCTCGGAATACAAACTCCGGAGTGAAGCTGCAGAGCGGGCACGGATCGATGTGAGATGTTTTACAGTTCATTAAGGTTATGTGGGAAACTCGGCATACTCACGACCCACTATAAACAGTTATTATTTCTGACAAACATTTTTTAATCGAGTCTCAATTTCAACAGATCGTTGTCGTGGGAAAGTATTATGAGGATAAGAGGCAAATAATCATTTACATTTAAAATCACGCTCCTATGAGAGCTCTTTGTTTCACTTAATGTATGCTGAATGTAAGAGTGGCTTATGTTTAACTACCCCATGTTAACTCGTGCTATTTTACCCATATAGGCAATGTGCGGCGGGGAAAGCAACATTCAATTGCATGATTTTTCAACCGAGTCTGGCACGAAATGAGCCGACACACGGGAGAGCGCTCGGCACCGCGGGGGCCAGCAGCAGCTCGCGCGGCTTGTGTTCCACTTACTTGGTATTTGTTGTGTTCCAGTAGATGGACTCCAGGATGACCGCCCGGCACAAGTCCACTTTGAAGGCAATAAACAAAACTCCGAAATAATATCTCCACATCGAGTCCCCCATGGTTAGCCTGCGCGCACAATCCTTCTCGAATATGTCCACAAAAAACAAATCAAGCGCTCCAGAAAAAAAGGCTGACCGTGGCAATTTCTTCAGCTTATATCCCGATTCAGAGGAGATGCGCAAATCCAGATCAGAGCATCTCCAGAGGAGCTCCAAAAAGCAAAGGCGCACGGCAGTAGTTCATTCAGCGGCAGCGGCAGCGGGTTCTCCCCTGTTCAGAGCGCACACTTCTCCGCGCTGTAATACATCCCTCACAGAGAAAAAAAAGTAGTGGGCCAGGCGGCAGATGGAAATCAATAAAAAATATAAATCCCCCTGCGTAATAGTCCAGCGGTGCACGCCAAAATCCAAATCAGCAGCAGAGAAAAGGACAGAGAGGCTGGGGCTGGAATGGAGAGATATTCCCCTTCAGATGCTGCTGGTGGTGGTGGGGGTGGTGGTGAGCTACAAACTGTGGGTGACAGCAGCAGAAAAATGAGAAGGGCAAAACAATGAGGTCGGATGGTCAAAATGAAAAAAATGGTAAAATATGAGAATGAAAGGAATCAAAGGAGCTGTAATGGAAGTTCTCATACTAGAGGTTCCCCCAACAAGTGCCGCGGCTCGGTCCTGCAGATATCGTCCTCCACACGGCCGCACACAGCGTAGCGATGATGCCTAGTGCTGCTCCGAAACCTGGATGGAAAGTAACTGCGAGCTGCCGAGACTGGGAATATTTGGTGTAGCAGGCCCCGCCCCCGCCGCCGCTGATTGGTCCCAACGGCGGGGAATTCAGTAGGAGCCCTGCTGTCAGTCAAGCGCGACAACTGGTTCAGCACGGTGACTAGTGGTGAGCGAAATGTGGAGGAAATACAGCCGAATCCTACTTAGGCCTAGTTAACTAGCAGGTGGATGAATATCAATCTGAAAATGTCACTTGTGTCTAATTATGACATCATAAAAGTGTCAAAGCATATTAGGTAGTCCAATAATACACAAAAACAATATTAAGGTGCATTTCACTTCGATTAAAACATAGCTAACACTACAGAACAGCAATCATATTTGTACTTCTTATAAAAGCATATGGGCTCTCAAACAACGCATAACGTGTTTATAGTTTCTGTAAATAGTCCCATAATGAAAACAAAGAGACAACATTTGGTCCCATAAGGCTCGCGCACAGCCATGTATGGAGCCACAGTGCTGCGCGTGTCTCCATCAGAGCACTGCAGCGCAAGCTCTTCCGAAGGGCACGAGCGCCCACTAGCGGGAAAAACATATCTGAGACAGATGAGGAAATACAGAAAACAATAGAAATGTGTTATTTTGTACATTTAAATGTAATAAAAAAATTACAGCACTGCTTGTATTGATGTTTAAAAAAGTACAACATCAAACGATGAAGTGCCTGGCCCTATTCTAATTAAGAGCTATTTTATCATCAAGCCCACGTCATTTTAAAGAGAAATCCACTTTAGGCTATTTAAACTTTTTAGAAGTTTAAAAAGTATGGCAGTATTTACAGGAGTTTTTCCTTGACCGCCACATTATTTAGGCCTAGCCTACATTATAAGATGTCCTGCACAGGGTTTCCGAACAATTAAAAGGTTGTTTTAAAGTTCTTTCAAAGCATAATTGAGACGGCACACATTGACACTTTCTACAAACACTCTACTTTTAGTCAATGGCCTCTAATTTGATGAGCACTCACACACCTCTGCAGTCGTAGATTACAGGTCCCTGAAGGCACCGTGTGAAGTTTTGACACTGTTTAACGACTTAATTCGATCAGGCTTTCTCCAGGCGGCCGCTGTGGATTGCGGCTGTTTGATGATCGTCCGGCTGATATTCACCGCAGACTGTGTTTATTGCAGCAGCGTGAACATCTCATTAATTTAATTATGCGAAAGGCAAAGGCAACTATATTAGATTAACAAGACTGGCACGCGGCTCTGCGAACCGGCCCATGCAGTTCTCTAAAATAGGCTATAGGATGTTTACTCATTGACCTAAATAAAACAATGCAATTTATAGAGTTTCAGAATGTGTCTACATATTTTAAAGATAGTATTTTATAACTGTGAGAGCTTGATAGTTGTGTTTTTGTTTTCTCTACACACCAACGTTTAAAAGTGGCTGAATAAAAAAATAACTAATATGCCCGTTCTTGAAGCTATAATCATTGATTTAATTTGAGTAAATATGTGCCTCTTCTGTCGTCTGAAGTAACGCATCTCTTAAGGTAATTTCAACATATTCTTAACTTTATATTTCATGTAAATTATGGCTTGTCATCAAATGTGTTGTTTGAAAAATTGTGGATGACAGCGCAGAGGAAGTTTTGAGTTTATTTATTTTTAAATCTCTTCCTTCCTGCCTTTAAAACAAGTCCCTCAGCCCGACGGGCAATGAGCTGTGGAACGTCTTTCTCACACACACACACACACACACACACACACACACACACACACACACACACACACACACACACACACACACACACACACACACACACACACACACACACACACACACACACACACACACACACACACACACACACACACACACACACACACACACACACACACACAGAATCTCTGAGGTTGACACTTGCAAACAGGAAAGCACTTTGGACAGGACTTTAATTGTTGTTCCAACATTGTTCAAAGATAATCAAATGGAAATTGTCCTGCTGACAGACAGGCCGATAGGTATTTCAAACAGACGCGAAACAAGTTTCGGAGTCTCAGCTTGCCTTTAAAAGAACATTTAAAACAACTTAAGAAAACAATTGTAAAAATTAATATGTATAATAGCCCGACATCAATAGCATAACCTGACACTTCTTTGTTTACTTTCTATATTCAGCTTGGAAACTTTTTTTAAACATTGTTTTATCTCCAAGTAGCCTATACTCATTTGTTTCTCTTTTAATTTAGTTTGTGGGGGAAATGTCTCTAAACCAGCTGTAGATTTTTTTTTCAAACCAACTAAATGTAGGCTACCATGTAGCATATTAATTAAATGACTTGTATCAATCAGAAACAGTCCGCGAGAGGCCGCGGTGAGCCCCGTGTGTTCCGCGGCACCAATTAGTAAGACATTAAAATAATATTAGGTTCGTTTGCTCCTCTGATTCAAATAAACAAAGTAACCGGAGTTTAAATACTCACCTCTCAATCCGTCATTGCTTGACATGCACTTTTCGTGATCGGCCCGTGCCGGAGGACCCGGGTTCGAATCCCCTCCGTCTCCCCCTTTCAACTAATTCGCTTAAATAGAGGCACTTTAAACAAATAGTTAAAGAAAAAATATATATATATATTTATATATGGATACATTCATTGAGACTTTAAGCAAACTGCTACCAAACACAGTAGTATTTGTTGAGGTGATTTGTCATGTTGAATATGAGAAGCATGATCTCCTTCAGCAGCCCTTCTGAATCCAGCTGCTGTTACAGGGTTTGTTAACTTGATGTATCGCTCGGCTCAAGGGTGGAAATGGATCGTAGTGCGATACAAACCGCTGACAAAGCCGGTGTAATGTCATTAAAATGTGCCAGTCTGAAATACTACTTATTTAAAACGGTAGTGTAAAGTGCTTTTAATTAACTTATTTGTGAGCTAGGACTCAATAAAAAGTAAAATGGAAGTTGAGGAGCGTTTCCTTTAAACTTCTTCACATCATCACACAGACACATGAGCGGCATTCAATGGATTTATTGAACTGTTCAGTCCCTTGACATTTGGGGGAAATTACATGACAAATTCCAAGTCCCACAAAATAACAAAAAGTCTTTATATACCCACCTTAGGTCAGCCTGCCTGCCAGTCACACACACAAACAAACAAACACACACACACATTCGCTGTCACACTCACACTGCTGCTGACCTTAAACCTGATCTTACCTGAACTTGTCCATCCTAAACGAATCAAGACTTACCAAGCGAGGCGCATTGCCAATTTTAATGTAATCTACAAAACTGTCATTAATGAAGGGACTGTATGCTCGGCTGTTCTCAAAATGCAAAACTCAAGTATTACTGTGACTTTTGTGATCAACTTCCTAACACAATCTGAATTTGGGGGGGGAGGAGGAGGAGTGGGAGTCAGCACATCACAGCAAGGCTAATAAAGTTACATCATACAGGAAATGCACTCTCCCCTGCCTTTACCCACAGGCCCCCTTTTATCGTGGACGACACACACATCCTGTTGTAAGGATCGGTCATGGGCAGCTTGGGAGTCGGGCTGCGTTAACCTGCACTGCAGCGACTTCAAACCTAACACATTTCATCTCAGGTCGACATGCTGCTGTCATTTTAGAAAAAAAAATGATATACATGGCAGACAGAGCTGGAGCAGAAAGAAAAGAGGTTTATGGTGAAGGAAGGAACGTGGAAGACACACCGCTGTCAGCTGGACGGGAAGTTCACTGTGATCGGTTACCACTGCCTGCTTCAGATGAAACGGAGAACAGCAGGCCAACTCCCAAGCTGCACACGAGCTGTTTACAGTAGACTGAAGTACACAAAGTCACACATACTCTTCTATACCGGGGACTGGAGTTCTATAGTAGGTTGCTGGCTGTGAACACATGTAAAGAGGAGCGCACAGGTGCTCGCTGTTAAGACTTAACGGGGGCATGTTAAAGCATTCTACATCAAAAGGTCCCTAAAAGTACAAAAAAAAAAGCACAAACAGGATTCATCTGTGCGGTGGGGGAGAGGAAGGGTGGAGGAAGCAGTCGGGTCCTTCTTGGATGAAGAGCTGCCTCCTCTTCAAGGTAGTGGGGTCTTTCACAGCGACAAGCACAGGGATGCGGCCCGTTCCTCGGCCTTCCTTCTTTCGGCGCTTCCAAAACGAAGCGAGCGTTCCGCAGAGGAGGAGGAGGAGGAGCGGGGGGCGATCGATGACAATGGGGCTCATGGAGGTTGGGGGGGGGGGGAGCAGTCTCATTCCGTGGCCTTGAGGGAGAAGGACAGCTTGGGCCTGGACTTGCCCTTGCCCAGGATGATTTTCTGCTCCTCCTTCTGCTGCTTTTGACGGTCCTGCTCCAGCTTCATGCGCTCCTCGTGAATCTTTCTCTGCTCCTCTACAATACGCAACTGCTCCTCAGCCTGGGGACGGAGAGGAACACACGGAGCAGACAATAGGGGTCAGACAAGGTCAGAACGAGACAATGCTGGCATTGGGGTTTCAACCATGGTAATAATATAAAAGAAGGGTTGATAGTAAAGAGTGTTACAGGAGCGGGTTTACTAATTGAACTCAAACTAAAGCCTAAATAAGATATAGGGTTTACATAAGATTGGGAACAGTTTTGAATTGCCAAAAAAAATTCAGAGTCTTAAAAAAGGAGAGCTCTTTATAACATATTAACTAAGACGTTAGGAAATATGAAAAATAATGAAATCAATGAGTCAGTACATTTTTTGCCACTTCAGAGCTGGTTTTTCTTTCTGCACGTAAGAAGGCACACTTATCATTGGCTGTGATCAGGACGGTAACATTTGTGGGTATCAATATACTCCAAAAATGTTATTAAGAAAATCCCTGTTTTTTTCTTTTAAATATACAAACATGGTTTCCAGGTTTAAAGAGGATGCGATTAGAATGTTTCCGTATGTGAGGAAGGCGGCATGCAAAACAACTCAATTGAGGGTTATGAATTTTAGTCAAATGGAATAAATGTATGAAAACAAGACAGGAAGTAGCAGGGCGTACCAGTTTGGCCTGAGCGTCGGCGATCTTGCGGTTATTCTCCTCCAGGATTTTTTCCAGCTCCTCCCGCTTAGATTTTTCTTCCTCCTAGACGGGTGACACGGTGCCATGTTAGCGCACGAACAGGCTACAGCCACAGAGCACTTTATGCACACACACACGCTCACCCTCTAATTGTCACACATACCAGCACACACACATAAAGTCATTGCACCACAGAGAAGTTTGTTTAGCCTCTCGCACATGACCACACTGTGGCATTCTTTGCAGTCAGCCCGAATTCTTAAAAAATACAAAGAGGGGTCAAAACGCATATAGAAACTGAGGGGGGGGGGAATTCACCGGCAACTACTTTTCCCTCCCCTACCCTTTAAGGAATAATTAAAGCTCATTCGCTGAACTATCGTAAAATTTACACGAGAATAAAAAAAATATATATAGAAGGGGGGGGGGGGGGGGGGGTCCCACTCATCACACTCGTAAAAATAAACATATAAATGACAGACAATCTAGAGGAAAATAGATTTTTAACATCATTATAAGCATGAGAAAAAAGGATACAAATAAAGGAGGGAATAGTTTTGGCTCACCAATGCACGTATACCTACGCATTTTCCTTGCCTGTGTACCTACACAACTGGTGAAAGCATTCAGCATTAAACGGTTGAATATTTACTGTCTCGTCCGGACTGTGTGGCCCCTGCAGAGACAGAGAAGCGCTCCTGGGGTGGGTGGGTGGGTAGGTAGGTAGGTATGGGGGGGGACTCTGCCATACCGCGCCGGCGGCATTCCTCTTTATAACTGATCTCTGTACTGCTTAGCCTTTGCCTGCAGCCACAGCTCATTCTGTTTAAGGGTTTATCCGTTCTGTACGGCGGCCCCACAGGAGAGGACAGTACAAAGTGGGGGTCCACGGTACACTTACAGTACAGGACACGAGTCACGGTGAGCTGAAGGCTGCAGGCCAGCTCGGGGGTCAAGTGCTAGTTAGGAAGACGCTGAGTTGTTGTGTTTCCAAAATAAAAACAACACAAATGTATTTAAATAACAGTCTCAAAATGTAGCAGCAAACCCTATAGGAGAAGTCATGAGTACAAAACACAGTACATTTGCTTTGCTAGAGAGAAAAATCTCTTCAAATTAAAATTATTAGAAAAATATATATATATTAACAGATTAAAAAAAGGTTAGACCACAGATAGTTAACCTTGTCAAAACAGGAAATGTCCGTCATTATGTATCCAAGAGCAGGTGGCGTCTAACAGAAGAATCCCAAGAGAAGGATTGTTAAAGAGAAGGTAGGGGGGGGGGGTAAGCATAACACCTGCACAGGACAAACTGTCTGAATGAACAAATGGGATTAACATTTCTACACATCAAATTGGGTTTGAAATGTCAGCGTAGCAGATAGGAAATCTCCACTTGTGTTTTTAAAACTCAGGAGTTATTGTAGGAGTCTTCAGCTGAATACTCTACACGTTGGTTATAAAAAGGGCCTTTCTACCGGTCCTGTGAGTTACACGGTGTCGGGTTGAGAGTGGGACATTCAGAAAGAGGCATACAGACAAACTGTAACGGCCCGTCCACACGGCGGCGTGCGTTGAAGCTTCAACGCTTCTGCCCATTCACTTTGAATGGGGTGACGTCACACTTTGCCGAACTGCATTGTGGGAGTCTCGCTTCACTTTGCTCGCTTCAAAAGTTGAGCAATGTTCAACTGTTGAAGCTTTGACGGAAGCGTCAGCCAATCGAATCATATGCCAGTACAAGCTCGAGCCAATCAAATCGCGTGCTTGTGTGTCCGGGGCGGGAGATTCATGTGATTGGTTGTTGGGCTAGCTTCAACGCACGGCGCCGTGTGGACGCTGCGTAAGGGGGCACAGGGCTGACCCAATAAGTCCTGTAGGTGAAGGAGGCTTGCTAGGACTACATTTCTCACCCGATTATTCCCGAGCCACTGGCTGCTCCCTGTGAGAGTCAGGGTCACTAGGCTTTAGCCACCCTTCTCAAACACAATACATTATTACTGTAGTATAAACAAACCCCCTTTTTTAATGAAGCCTGGGGAGGCAGTGGACAGGCTCTGTCAGACAGCTTCACTCTCTAAACGAAAGGAAGAAGCAGGGGGGCTGTACTAACTTGAAAGAGCCCGAAAAGGGTTCATCATAAAAACTGTTACAGGACATTAGGAAAACTAAATCAAACTGAAGCCTAAAAATAATTAATAGAGTTTCTCAAAACTTGTAGGTATTTGGGAAGTTTTAAATGGCGAAAAATGTTCAGAGTCGGTGGTCTTAAAATAGAGAGCTCAAAAAACAGAACCGGGGGGGGGGGGGGGAATGAAATAAAGAAATCAGTTCATTTTTGTAACCGCGCCATGGCAAAACTCTCACTGGCAAGTTAAGGAGACCCTCTTGAGACGCCATTCACATTGCCCCATGTGTATAAAACAGGCAATTATACTTTAAGTCTAAATTGCCTATTTCTAGCATAACTCTGGCTGTGAGAACCACATGTCCCATACTCCTAGTGACTGCAAGAAAAAGGATCACTTTTAACATGTGAATGTGTGTACATGTTGTAGTTGTATTACTTTAAATAATTGTAAGCCTTGTGCACGTAAGTTCATGCACATCCGACATATTTAAATTTGTAAGAAATAACAATTTTGACAAGTTAAATTGACAATGAATTAGATTTATTAGTAATGCTTTTGCTACATGATGTCCCTGCAGGCTGTGCATACACCCTCCCTGCAGTGAAACTTGTACCATGGCTAGATCACGCATGTCCTGGAGAAAGGCAACAGTGAGACCAGCTGACTGGGGAAGGTATGTAGGGAATGGAGGGGCTGCGTTCCAAACGACCGAGCGTTACCTCTCTGGCCTTCTGGGCCGTGAGCTCTGCCTGCCGCTGTCTCTCCAGCTCCTCCAGCAGCTGACGCTCCATGATGCGCTTTGCCTCCTCCACGCGCCGCAGCACCTCCCGCTCAATCTCGTCCTTTCGCTTCTCCAGCTCCTCCTCCACCCTCTTGGCTACCAGCTCCTCCACCCGCCGCGCCGTCTCCTCCTCGATCAGCTTCTCCTCGATCTCCTGCTGCCGGCTGGAGGACGGAGAGGGAAACAGATGAGAGGAGCTATGAGAGCGGGATCACAGAGGGAAGGATGCAGGGATTTATCATAGGGCTCATGTGCTGTCCTGCCAAAGAAACACATTCTACTACACTGAGAACAAAACAAGGGAGTGAGTTACCAACACACATTTAAACAAGTATCTTGGCTTTTTAAAAATGATTTAGAAAATGTTATCTGCAGCAGTGTGAAGTTGTATCAATGCAATATATCTTCACATTTTGAAGGATTTATTGTCATAAGGAAGTAGCTACAGTGTAGTGATGAAAAAGTACTAAAATACTGCTCATTGTCATAAAAGATGAATATGGGAAATGTAACGGAAGAATGGTGTGAAGTAGTGAAGGCACAGAGCTCAGGATATAGATATATATTACTTTATAATGCTTACTCTAGTGTTGTTTTCCCACTAAAATGGCTACAGTGGGTTGATGCAGATGGAGTATCATCCTGTTAACCTATTTAAAATGCTTTAAAATTGTTCTTTCATTCTCCAATTAACAGGAAGCTATTAAGAGTGGATGTGTGTTGTCACATCGCTCCTGGCCCCACTGTAAACACACAGCCCACCCTGCCTGGATCTTATTTCATTTTGTCAACCACTGGGAAACCAGAGACCGTTCCAGGCCCAAGTCCTTCCTTATCTCCCAAGTCTCGGTGTCAGGATATTTACATGTGTATACCAGGAAAAGTGGCCTTGTGACCAGGGGTTAATGGAAGAGCCACTCAGGAGGCCAGGTGTTGGGCAGAGGCTGGTGTCTCAGGTGTCTGTGCGCCTCTGGCTACCACACACATTCACAACAGCAGCTTTCCTGTCAGACAGACAGAACCTGCCAGCAGACAAGAAAACTAGCTATGGTCATTATGTGTGGCAACCGCTCCAGTGTTTTAACAGAGAAGCGGCAGTCTATGTGAAGGGTCAAGGGGTTTATTAGTACATGTATTGACAGCCAAGTCAATTGTTTTCCTTTGTGCAACTCCATGTTAGACTGCAGCAAACTAGTATGTCCATGTTAATGTGTACATTGATGTAATTCTCAATAACCAATGAGTACCATAGGGGAGGTTAAGGTAAAAAAGGTACGAAAAATCACTTGTGTCAGATAATGATCCATAACACATTCAGAGGTTAATGTAAAGCACAAGTTACACTAAGACAAGATTCATATAGCTGCTCATTAATGAGTAAGACAACTACCACATTTCAAAACTGTTGGTTGACAAACTGCACAGCACTACCTAGCATCATGCATTAGATTAAGGACCAGTGACCTGTTGTACTGACAGTAATACTTACAACAAAGTTGAAATCTCCTCATTGACACTATGAAGAGTGTAATAATGATAAGCATAGTGCAACAACATGGCTGCTATTATAAAATGGGAATTATCTAAAACTTAAACTTATCTTCAAGTGCAGCCAGGCTGAAAAGGTGAGCTGGCCCCTGCGTTGCTTTCTTCCCTGACAGGGATAATAATGTGTGTGTGCGTGTGTGTGTGCTCAGGGCCTGTGGAGCCTAGCTGACGTTAGCATGCTTTGGCTGCTAGCATGCTAGTGCAAGGAGCTGACGCTATCCATACAACTGAATGGAGCTAGCCTAGCATTTAGCTTAGCACATATTGCAGTTCATTTTACGTTAGATTTACAGAGTCTTTCATTAAAATATACTTACATCTTCCTCTGCCTCTCCATTTCTGCCCTTCTCTCCTCCTCCTCTTTCCTCTGCTTCTCGTCCAGAGCGTTTCTCTTGCTCAGCGTCCTACCGAAGATATCGATGCGCTCCGGCGGCGTGGCTGGTCTTTCTCTGCGGGCTGGGGCTGTGGTGGACCGGGAACGAGAACGAGATTCTCTGCGACGGTTCCTTTTCGCTTCCCGGGACTTGGACCGCTTCTTGGACCTCTCCCTGTCTTTGGACCGGCTCCGTTTCTTGCTGTGCTTGCTGCTTTTGGAGTGTTTGGAGCGGGACGAGCTGCGGCTCCGAGATCGGCCCATCTTGACCAGCTCCGCTTAGCGTTACACCAAACTACGGTGCCTTGTGTCTGATATGTAGGCAATACTGCGAATCCTGTTGCACGAGCTCCTTTTCAAACGTATTGCTTACAGCGAGGTACCAAGTAAAATTGCTTCAATGATTAAATTCTGGAGAAATAATCATTTAAACGGGTTGTTATTTGCCCTACTAACTCTCTGTAAAGAAAGATGGCGGATTGTCGACTATTGCGTTTCCCAGCAGGCACCGCGGCTTTCGGTATTTTCCGGTGGGTTTCGGGAGAACCCAGTCAGGTGAAATCCTAAATCAATGTACAGAGCCCTGAGTTGCCTTAACTTTGTCAATATAAAGATATTTAGAAAATGTTACGTTTATAAATTATTGAACAATTGGCGTCTATAAAGCCTTTGTGTTCAACAGTAATAATTACTTTCTATACATGAATAACCGAAAGCCAGTTTGTTTTCATTTTCTCACATAGTGCAGTTTTGGGTTGTTTGTACTGCAAAGTCAAAGTTACACTTTATTTGAACTGTCAATGATATTGTACATAATTAAAAAGTGTTTACCCTCAAAATAATTACTAAATGTGTGGTCTTGAAGTAGGCTACTTATTGTGTGCTCTCAAGTTATCAAAGTGGTTGCACAAATAGAAGCATGTAATGTATCTTTTATCAGATGTTGAAGTCATGTCAAAGGAACACACCATTGTAGACAGGATCGACCATGTACAGTAACATGTCATCTTAATGGGCTGCTTACAGTTCATGCAGTTTATTCATGATTTCTGACAGAGATACTCAGATACTATTCAAATCAAGTCTTTAAATTAAATAAAATTAAGTAAATTAGTCACTTTGATTAGAAAATGGTATAACCTGCATCCAGCCATAACCACATTTTAAATTACTCTGTTATAAGTAAAAGTCTGGCATACAAAATCTTACTTAAGTTAAAGCACAAAAGCATTTGCACCACAATATAAGTAAAAGTACTTTTAATGCAAAATGGCCCGTCATATAAGGCCTAGTGGATTAGGATGATTGATGCATTAATGTGTTCATCACAGTTTGTAAAGGTGGAGCTCATTTAATTACTTTATATACTGCTGTTGGATATTTTAACCAATCATTATTTGACAATGTTTATTAACCACTTAATTGTTTAAGCTAGAAATCTGCATTTTTAAAGTTACTAGTAACTAAAGCTGTCAAATAAATAGTGAAACGTAAAGAGTAAACGTACAATATTGGCTTCTTAAAAGTAGTCAAAGTAGCATAAATTCAAAATACTCAAGGAAAGTACCTCAATATTGTACTTTAAAACATACTTGAGTAAATGTACTTCACTACATTCCACTAATTCTTCCAGCTCTACTGCATCAGTGTTGTATGAATTATTTTGACTCCAATATCAAAAGATTAACACCTAGATAAAGCACTAATGTCTTCGCTTCCATTTTTCTTTAACCTTGAGCTGGCTCACCGCCTGCAGTTGTTGAGTAAAATTAAGGTAGAAGTGTAAACTGTAATCGTTTAAATGCTCTCCTGCTACTTTTAAAAGCAAGCAGAGTGGCACTACACAGCTTTGAATTGTTGTCCCTATTTGACCTATATTTAACTTTTCCTGTGTCCATTTTTAAATGTTGTTTTCATGCGTTATCAGAGGTTAAAGCGATGCTTTTATCAGATCTTGTAAATATAGCAACAAGAACATCAGATAGCCAACCAACAGACAGAACGAGGGAGAAAATAAAACACAACTTGACAATGACACAGTCCCACACTAAAAGACTGCCATCCCACTCTGGCAAAATGAGGCCATTGTGATAACTCTCCCTGGAGTGCTGTGCTCGAAATAAACTGTCATTACTAAATTTAAAAACACATAACTCAAAAGCCCAGTGAATCAGCTTTAAAAAGGTCACACAACTCAAGCTAAAAATGAAAGTGATCCAACTTCAGGAAGATGTATTTTGTCATTTTTTCTAATTACCTGAAACTTCCTGTATCTCTGAATCTAATTTTTGTAGAAAGAAGTATTTTGTTCACACGGAGTTTTGCCGTGTGAAGCTTTGATCGTGGATCAAGAATACTTTTAGTTATTGTGAACTGATAACAGTTGTCAGAGGAGTCACTCCCATGCACTCAGATGAAAAGGCTTTGTGTTGAGGAAGGCTGCATTCATCCATGTATTGTCAGAAAAAGCTGGAGCACCATTACAGAAATACAACTGTTCCCAGAATTAGGGAGAAATTATGTGATTTTAGTGCCAGGAATTGAGGGCAAGTCTTGGTTCATCTCTCCAGGAACAGCTCCCCCGCCTGCACTCCCTTTGATATACTTTATTTATTATAACTTTATCCCTCACTCCCTCCCTCAATTCCTCTGCTCAAAGCCAAAGAATCAATCTTCTGTAACTTATGGTTATGTTTTATTTTAATGATCCACAAATGCTGTTCCCGCAGATGAAAGGAATCAGCATTAAAGAGGCAAGGATGTCTTGTTTTTCGCTTGTGTAACGGGAAGAGAGTGGTGCTTAAAGCTCATTTTGATGAGTAATAGAAAGTGTTTAATGGAGGTGGAGAGGAAAAGAGTTCCACTGCGACTCCGCTGGGGATAAAAGAAGCCGAGCTGGAGGAGCAGTCGGTGTGTAAATGAAAGAATTTGCAGACTTTGTCTGTCTGCTCATGGGTGGTTTGTGGTGAATGTTGTAAGAGAGGCAATAACATGAGCGGGAAGATGGAGTTGTAAGAGAGTTTCAGAGAGCCTAAAGAGCAGGTTTCATATTCCTCTAATCCCTATTTGAAAGGATTCCTTGCTGAGGTGATCTCAGGAGAAACCATTTGGATATGTCACTTATGATCGCATGTCAGTCAAAGCTTAAAGGTGTCTGTGTCACAGGAGCACCAGCTCTGTCTTTGGTGGGAGAAGTGTTAGCCAAGATGATGACTGACCTGGTCCCATTATATCTCACTGATGAGCAGCTGTGTGTGAGATCAATGAGATGTAAAGAGGACTAGTGAACACTGTAACTGAGACAATAGTCAAAAAGTACATTTACTCAAGTACTGTACATAAGTTTACAGAATAGGTACTTAGTACTTTACTTTAGTATTTATACATTAAGCTAATTCATACACTGCGTTCCGAATTATTAAGCAAGTCGTATTTTTGAGGATTCATTTTATTATTGAACAACTACAGTACTCTCGGTCAATCCACGGTGTTAATAAACCTCAAGTCTCAATATTTAAAAAGTAAAAGTGAGGTTTTGCCATTATAGGAGAATATCTACGTGTGCAGAATTATTGGGCAACTAAACGAAAAAGGAAAATGTTCCAATCTGACTGTTTATTATTCTCACTTTACAAGATGAAAATAAACCAAACAACTCATAATGTACAAATAAACATTTCTCATCAATCTCTCAACAACATGGTGTGAGATGGGACGCAGAAGATCCACGAAGATTCACGGTCTGTCAACATGCTGCCTGATGAGAGGGACATTTAAAGCTGGTCTACTGACTATCTGAACTACTGGTTTGATTTGAGGTATTCAGACCATCACTCATTTCATTAGGAATTATACAATGGGATAACACCACTTCCTGTTTACATGCATCCACCGCTGCATGCGGTTTCAAAGAAGATGTATGCTGCTGAGGGGAGCTTCCACTGACCCCATTGACATTCATAAATGCAGATAAACCTCAGTAGTCTTAGTCAACATCATTATTATGACGTCCACAGCTTCAGAAAGGAATGTATGGGTTTGGAAGATATCACAGTTCACCAAATACCAAATCCTTTTAAAGCGTTTTCCACACACTGAAAGTCTTTAATACTTTCTAAGAACTTCTGACTTGTGTTTCGAAAGTTTTTCTTAGAATTCTACATTTCAGTTTGAATTATTTTGAAGAACTATACATTATCCTTAGAAGTCAGATTTACTATCCAAAACCCAAAGAAGCAGAACCCGGCTCCCCCGGCTAAAGTTAATCAAAAAGTCCATCCCTTTCACATTTTGTGATCAAAGTTGGCCCCTTTCTTTCACGAGCACTTTTCAGGTCCCCTGACCCTGCCCCGTGGTTGCTCTTCAGGGGGAAAAACACTTAACAAACACAGGATCTCTTTTAAAAAGCCCCGCCACATTGTCACATTGTCATGTTGATGGCCCAGGGGTCCTGGCATAAAGGGCCATTGAGGAAGGAGACCTGAAAGCAAGCTCCCCCACTCCCCTCCTGCCCTGAATGAGAACGCTTCTTTCACCTCAGGCTGGGTATGGGAGAGGTGAGGAGAAGAGGGAGAATAAAGGGGGAGGGCGGTGAAGGTGGAGATTTTAGGAGAGTGAAGAGATTGAGGATGTAAAGGAGAGGAGGGGAGGAGGTATAGTCAACAGGTCGGAGAAGAGGAGAATAGCAGGAAACACACTATGCCCGCTCTGCATCATTAGAGACTCTATGGAGTGAGTCAGGGATAATCACATCTGTATGGAACATGTCCTCTATTTTTCAATATCATGTCATTTAGACACAGCTAAAGTCATTGGGATACTGATTATATATACACTCCCTGAAGAGATTGTCCATTCATGATTAACATAAGCAGTTTTCTCATGATAGTGTGTGGAGTATTAAACACATGTAGGACACAACATGAGAAGCTGTGTCAGAAGCCTTCTCACACTCTATATTGTCGTTCCTTGAACATTTCTGAATATTTTTGGAGTCAGCCCTTACTGACAGAAATGCCTTGTTGTTGTCTCACCTGTTTGACATTTTAGTTGGAGGCTTTGTGAAAAGGACCCTTCTTCCTTCAGCCTCTGATGTTGGTTATCTTCCGGTTTTATAGCAGCAATATAAACGTCATAACCACGCCCACTCACTTGCAATGAATTCCCCAGAGAAAGAGTTGCTGGATTTGTACTTGGGCTCAGCAGGACATACACAGACTTAATACTTAGTGCATTTGATGTATGGGCTAAATGACTCGGACATTTGCGTTCCCACATTCTCCTTCTGTGCATGTATGTAATTTAACTGTCAAAGTCGGTTCACGTTTTTCTTTTCTTTTACCAGCCGCTGTTTTTCTTGTTCTTTTGCGTCTGCACATTAATAGGTCTAAACCCTGAGTGTATATAAACAGTGTCATAATCATTCTATTACCACCATACGTCATTATCATCGCAGGATGAAACTGTACTCTTTTTTAAATGAGAGGAAGAGAAGTCCAGGAACA